CCAAGAGAAAGGCTGCAGCAGACAGAAGCAGAGTAGGAGGAAGACTTGGGAGACTTGGTGATAGAGGGGTCTGGCTGTATTTGCCGCAGCTGCATAAAGTGGGAGTTAAACCAGTCACACACAAATAAACACGAAGCTCAAAGAGTGCTCACATATGGATGCATTTAAAAAAAAAAAACCTCCAAGCTCATCTTGAAGGCCAAATTGTCCAAATGTTTGGGCTTTTAGAGGCCGGAGGAACTGAACGAAGGACTTCCTCTCTGAAGAGAAATACAGAACCTCCACTGGAGAAAACCCAGAGAAAACCCCCATCAAGCGTCACAAGAATTTGAAAAAAAAWTTTTTTTTCTTTAAACCTAAACAAATTTAGCAGGGTGAGGGAGCGGGCATGTTTGCTCAGCTCAGCTCCACCCTCGCTTCACCCTTCATAAGTGAGAGTTGTTCAGCATGACCACAACTGCCAAACCACAAGCGGAGGGTTCACACTGCAGCTCAACCTGAGAGGAAGTGTTTGTGTAAAAAAAAAAAAGAAAAGAAAAGAAAAATCAATGCAGATACATGTGATAGTTTGAATTTATGACAAATAACTTACGCTTAAACACTTTCTTCTTGCTAACAAAAAGACAGAACTGTGACTCTCATGCAACATCTGGAGCAGCTGGATGGTTTCCCGATGACCACACACTAAACTCAGACCGCCGTTCAGTTGTTTTCATTTGCAGATGTGTTTTCAGACAGCTAAAAAGAGCCTAAATTAGCAGGTTGACTCCTCACTTTTGTCTGACAGGCTGCATTCCGAATRAATTTATGGATGCAGTAGTCAGTTGGCACAGCAGGGACTTCTTTTTGATGGCTACTGAGAACAAAACAAAACAAAAAAGGCACGAACAAATGGATATCTTTCATGCTGACTAAAATGAATGAAGGACTCTGGGCTATATCGCACCAGATCGTCACTTAGTTTCTATAAAACTGATTCAATTATATGCATTTGTTTGTCATGACTGTTAGGTTAATTGATAACTCTAAATTGTCCCTAGGTGTGAGTGAGAGAGTGAATGGTTGTTTGTCTCGTTTGCCTCTATGTGTGGCCC